GACCTGAAATCGTAACATTCTCAGCTTGTACCTATTTAATGGGACGTCAGCAAGAAAATCTTTACCTTTCATAGCCTAGTTGTCCTCAAAATCTTTTTATGTTCATTAAAAGCATCTTAATGAGTACGATAAGTATTCAAAATGCAACTCAAATTTAAATAAAGAGAATGAGATAGATGGCATGTATCTGATAAGGATCTGATATGGGTTCTCTTAAGGTGGTTATAGATATGCATTGTATGCACTAATCCAAACAAACATGCTGCATTTTTCCTTGAACCCTTTATTAACCCTGTTGCCAAACGACATCTAAACTTTTTGGTGCACCACATTTGAACGCTTATAACCCAGTCTAATTGATGTATTTATGAAATCAAATGCAATGGTACTAGAGAACGCTTGGTTCGTTGTAACTGAAATAGTAATGCCAGTGTCAGTCGCATTCAACTGCAAGTGTTGTGACTTTCATGTAACTGTTGTTACAAGTTGTCTGACACAGGTTCAAAATTTTGTGATCGCAACTTTTAGATGTTTGATTTGCTGTATCAGTTCTTAATTTGAACACCATTTGTGCATTTCAATGCTCAGATTTTACGTAAATTATTGTCTACCGCCGACCTGTTTCACACGTAGATACAGCCAAATGTATTTATTTCAATGAACAGACAACTGCAACTACAAAATATATTACAGTTGCAGATAACTGAACTTACGGCAACAAACCAAATATTATGCCGTGGCAACGTAAAGTCATTGATTTGGATGATGCTTTGGCCATCTGTTTCACTTGAGCTTAGACATGAAGTTGTTATTTTATATGCTTATCATTATGTCCCTGCCTTGGCTCCTGGATTGGTGCTAAGAAGGTGAGCTGACAGTGGAACGGAAAGGATGAGCTAATACAAACACTATTCTTACCAAACACGCCCACAACCCAACAACCTACTACCTCTGAGCCAAGTCACACGGACATATGCAACGAGTGACTAATATAAATACTCCTCATCTCTCTATCCAGTTCACACAAATCCTCTATAGCTACAATGGCTTCGCCAACCAGAGCTCCTCTCTTCTCTAGTCTTCTCATTGCATTTTTCATCATGAGCAGCTTCACAGGCGAAGCTGCACGCCTTCTACTCGAACTTTCAATACCTGAAATTCCAACTCTTCCTAAGCCCGAATTACCGCCTTTACCGGAACTTCAGAAGCCTGAATTGCCTCCTATGCCTGAGATTCCAACTCTCCCAAAGCCTGTACTACCTCCTCTACCAGAGTTACCTAAAGTTGAATTGCCACACTTACCCAAGATACCTACCATCACCAAAGCTGAGGAAGCACCACTTCCCGAGATACCAACACCAAAACCTGAGCTTCCTGAAGTACCACCTTTGCCTGAAATTCCGATACCTGAGTTACCTCCACTTCCCGAGATTCCAATATTACCAAAACCCGAATTGCCTCCTCTTCCAGAGTTTCCCAACGTTGAGTTACCCCCCTTGCCAGAGGTACAAACGCTTACTAAAACTGAAAAAACATCAACCATGGATGTATCGACAATACCGAAACCTGAGGTGCCCCCGCTTCCTGAGGTTCCAACCCTTCCAAAACCTAAATTACCCCCACTTCCTGAGATTCCAACCCTTCCAAAACGTGAACTACCTCCTCTACCAGAGTTACCTAAGGTTGAACTACCGCCTTTACATAAGGTACCAACTATCACTAAAACTGAAGTAGCACCAATCTTGGATGTACCAACTATACCAAAACCTGAGATACCAACACTCCCAAAGCCTGAATTACCACCTTTGCCTGAACTTCCGAAACTTGAGTTTCCCCAGCCTCCTGAGATTCCAACCCTTCCAAAACCTGAAGTACCTCAACTACCAGAATTGCCGAAGCTTGAATTGCCACCTTTACCGAAGGTACCAACCATCACAAAGACCGAGAAAGCACCAATCTTGGATGCACCAACAGTATTGAAACCTGAGATTCCAATAATCCATAAGCCTGACTTACCACCACTACCCGAGCTTCCAAAACCTGAACTACCACTTCCTGAGATTCCAACTCTTCCAAAACCTGAACTTCCACCACTTCCAGAACTACCAAGGTTTGAGGTGCCACACTTACCTTAAATACCAAAGCCTTGAGCTTCCCTCACCAAAGCATTGAGTTTCCTTCTCCCCGCCAACATTCCTATGATTCCAAACATGTTATCGAAGTCCTCAACTTTCATCATCACTAAGACCTTGGAAGCAAATTATGAAGATTCTAGGAGTATGATTTGAAGTTTTCCAGATTACGGTTCTCTTGTTTATTGTTGTTTGTAACTTTTCCCTTTTACTTGTCATGTATCAAATATGTTGATGTCATCTAATTGTGAGTTCATATATATGGCTCTGTAATTCATTTTGCATGTCAGTTCTTGTTTGGAGTTTGGAAAAAGAGAATTTCGGTTCTTGATAACTCATTATATGCTTCCATGTTTATTGTTTGATTAAATCCCATTAGCCATCTGATCTCATATATTTACGAGATCAAACCCACACTTGACCTTGATGAATGCGAGAAATTCTTATCACGATCTTTGCATCTGAGATCAATACCTATTACATTCCACATGATCTAATTATATCAGAATTTTGATCCTCTCCGCAACAAAAAAGTAGTGGAGAGACCAATACTTTTGATAACAACCATCGATTATCTAGGGGGTGGTTATGATTTTTTCTAAAACTAACATTCATCGTACCCCCATGAATTGCACTAATTCCTAATTTGCACTCAAAGAAAAAAATCTTGACCATCAAGTATACGATCAATGATTATGACCGAGTAGTGGTCTCTCCGCTCTTTTTCTGATAGTGGAGAGAGGATTCGAATCTACATAACAACCCCAAAATATGCACAAAATGTAGTAACTTTTGATTAACATCAATAGGCAGTCATATCCAAAATTTTATAAGGCTCTAACCAGCGATATCAAAGGCGTGTGCCTCATTGTGCCCTGCAATGTAGGGTAGTGGGAAAATGCCCACATCTGATGTGGGAACGCCCTTTACGCCTTGCAAGCAACCTGTGCTTCACACATATTACATGAAAAGCATAGCCCTATATGTTTTTGCTCTTTAACATTTGAATCAGACTTTGTACTTGATAATCCATATCCCAAAAGAGCAAAATTAATCTGTTAAAGACCTTTTTAGTAGCTCGATTGAGGATCCTAACTGGTCCTCGTTTACTATTTTGATTCGGTTTTGATGTTAATCTCGATTTGACTTTTGATTTGGAAAATAACTAACTTCGCTACTGTGTTGAATGTGTTAGCATTAGGAATTACGACACTATTTAGTGATTTTGTAGTGATATTATTTATCTTGACATATTTTTATTTGAAAATACATGAACATGTTTTTTCATGCTTGATTTTCTTCTTAAAAAATTATGTGAGCAAGTTGCGCCTCATGTCAGTCAGGTGCGCATATCGCATTGCACCTTGCACATATGCGCACAAAGAGACTTTGCGCCTCGTATTGCATCTTGCACATTGATAACACTGGTTATGACAATCTCAACAATCATTCTACACTACAATTCAACAACTGCAACATTCCTTGTTCTGCAAACAAAAGTCTTGATTAAAATCATGATAACATTTGAGGTTTGGCAATCAAGCACAGATCAAACTTCCTCGCTGTTGCCATCCCTAACGACTCGATCATATCAAGATCTTCAGGCTTCATTCCATCAGGAAGCTCCCAATCAAAGTAAAACAGTAGAAATGCAAGCACAAGCTCAACAGTTGCCATTGCAAAAGTCGTCCCAGGACAAATTCTTCTTCCACCACCAAAGGGCACATAATCAAAGTTACTACCAATATAATCAACAGAATCTCCATCAAATCTCTCCGGTTTAAATTGTTCACTATCATCCCAATACCTAGAATCTCTTCCTATCGCCCATGCATTAAATAGCACTCTGCTGCCTTCAGGGATTTTGTATCCTAGTACTGTGCAGGATTTGGTGCACATTCTTGGCAGAAGCAAAGGAAGTGGAGGGTGAAGCCTTAGAGTCTCTTTGATGACTAGTTTCATGTAATACAAGGGTTTTATGTCTTCTTCTTCGATCTTCTTTTTGCCCTTTAGAACTCGTCGTACTTCTGATTGTACTTTCTTCATTACTTCTGGGTGTCTCATTAGCTCTGACATCGTCCAATCTAAGGTTGTGGATGTTGTTAAAGTTCCTCCAGAAAACATGTCCTGAGATTAAATAAAGGGTTAATTGCAGATCGACCCCTGTACTATCACGCAATTGTGAATAGGTCCCCTGCAGTTTTATTGTTGCAGACCTCTGCACTATAGCCCAATTTGCAGATTGACCCCCCATGTTTTTCTCTTTTTTTTTCCTCTGTTGCCCTCAGATGGTCTATTTTTCAAAAACACTTTTCTTTTTCTTTGAGGGTATAAGAGCCAAATAATTTCACAGGGTCCATCTGTAACAATAGAACTGCATGGAATCTATGTAGACTTAACCCTGAAATAACGAAGGACCAACACACGAATCAATTTTGTGTTGAATAATAAACTCCATTTTTTCATAAAAATATCTTAAGCCTTTGTTCATATTGCTACGACTTAAGCTCATACTTACGTGGATTACAGCCTTGATGTTGGTCCTCGTGAGAGGAAACTCCAAATCGCCATTCTCCTGAATTGACAACAAAATATCCACCAAATCCTCTTCAACCTTTTCCTCTCCTTCGCTACTAACTGTATCTCTTCTCTTAACACAATGCTCCTCAATTATGTCATCAAGAATCTCATCCATCTCCTCATGACACTTTCTCAACTTCGAACTTACTCCAGTAAGTTCACTCACAAATCCCAACGATGGATAGAAATCTGCAATATTAAACCCAGGGGATGAATCATCCGCTTTTCTCGATGCAGATATGAATCTTTCTCCATGTTCACACTTTGAACCAATTGCAGTTCTTGATGTGATCGTGTTTGTTAAGGAGCCAAACCTCTCAGTGAGGTTAACTGTCGAGTTTTTCACTGCAGAGATTGCCTTAACTAAATTGAAAGCCTCTTGTTCTCTTATTAAACAAGATGCCTTCACTTGTCGAGAACTTAACAGTTCAAGAACACATATCTTGCGAAGCTGTCGCCAGTAGCTACCATAGGGAGAGAAAGCAATATCTGTGTTATTGTAGCATATGATTTTTGAGGCGATAAGAGAGGGTCGGGAGGAGAAATTAGTATCATGATTCTTAAAGATCTCTTTGGCAGCTTCAGGAGAAGAAACGATGATGTGGTCCAGTTGTCCGAGTTTTAGATACATGAGATGAGGGCCATGTTTGGTTGCTAGATTATGGAGCAATTTGTGAGGCAGATCATGTCCGCTGCATAGCTGGTGTATATTTCCAATAATCGGAAGCTTCCATGGGCCTGGAGGGAGTTTTATGCTCCCTTCATGCTTGGATACTGTAAATTGTTTGATGAGAATGAAGAGAAAGGGGAGTAGGAGTACAATGAATAAGATTTCCATGTTGGTGGAGTTCCTTGGAGCTGTAATGCACCAGTATATATTCATTTCTGAAGATTCCATGGCCTGCAAATTGAATAAGCTAGTTCCAACCATTTGATAAAATATTTATTCCTTTGACAAGATTCCAGAGCCTGCAGATTGACTGAGCTAGTTCTTAGAATTCAATTATTTGTTCTAAGATATAGACTTTCTTCTAGGGGATACCCAACATAGCTAACTAGTATAATGCCAAATAAAAATTATAACAGTTAGATTATGTCCCTTTATCACAATCCATAATTAAAAAATAAAAACGAATAAAAAATGATACAATGATTATGAAAGGATTTGTAAGTAGTTGAGGGAGAGGAAATTACAGCCGGCTGATATATTAAGTTAGGCTCCGAAAGATCGTGACCGACTCTCATTAATAAATAGAATAGCGAAATAGTACTTATCAAGATGGCCAGGCTATTTTGGGCATCGTCCATTCGCATCCATGGGTCCACATGTCAATGAAGAGGATAAAAAGACTGATTACGATTATAAATCTTGCTAACTTTAAGGGTATAAGTTAATCAACATATAATTGCATGAGGCCTATTAGCCAAGTAAAATGAGATACCATTCTTAGCTAATCCATTTAATCAAATGGTAACTTGTCTCTTGAGATAAATATCAAGATACATACATTAGCATACAACAACATACTTCCTATATTCTCAAGATTTGTAAACTCATTGACAGCAGCAATCTCGACCGACTTCAAACATTCCACGTACAAGATAACAAAACCGATATCATACTAAATATCTGCACCTGCAGTATCATCTAAGCTTACAAGGTAGGCAACCAGGCCTACAACAGGAATGTACCTTAAATTCCTTACTATTTTTTGATACCTTGGCTTCACATTTTGAAGGTTATCTCTTATCAACCAAGGCTGAAATATGGCATAAAGGCATATATCCCATATAAAAGCGTAAGCTAGCCTCTCTGATCCAAGATAACTACCCAAAAACTCCAAACGATCTGTGATGTTTCCAAAATCACCATCACCACGAGCAAAAAGGGCCCAGAATATTGAAAGAAGACATACACCTCCACCGATTAAGCCTACAACTTGTGCACCATTTGTCATCAATGACGCTAATGGAGTTTGTTTTTGAGGAGTATTTAAATCCTTGTCATTGAGACGAATTGCCATGTAAGGTATTAAGAAAGCTACAAATATCCCATTTGAGAAGAAGAAAACAGTGGTCAGAGGAATTTTTGAGAAAATATATGTAAAGCATAAGATAATACTTTTCAGGGGTTTGTCATATTAGCACCCAAACCTTTTGAATTATATACAAATCTTCATACTTGCTCAAAACGGGGGCTTATTTAAAACAGTTCAATAGATGAGGTCTTATTTAAAAGAACTTAGTAGATTCAATGGTCTTATTTAAATAACTTAGTAGATTTGGGGGTCCAGTTTAGAAGTATGAAGATTATGGGTCTAATATAGAACTAACAAAGATGTGGTAATGAGGACAACAATTGCAACTTTCTCTATTTGTCATTTGACTTCTTCTATTTTAGTTTTTAATAGTTAATTTGAATTTTTGAATTTTGAATTTTGAATTGTGGTTTAATTTTGGCATTTGAACGATTTTAGGGAATTGATTAGAGTGATTTGAGGGATATGTAATTGCTCTATAAAAGAGCTATGTAATCAGAATTATGGAATAATTGAATGAATGAATGAAATATTGTGTTAGCTAATTTGGGTGTGAAATCCTAGGCTTTGGGTGTGAAACCATAGGCTGACCCCCTCCCCTTCTCCTCCAATACGCAGCCGCGCCACCAGCCACCCCTTCTTCTTCCTTTGCTGCCCCCATCACCTGCTTCCTCATCCTCAGGCGCCCCACCATATCAGTCAACACTTCTGTCCTCTTATTCATCCCTACAGCCGCACTCCGCCCTCACCTCATTCCCAACCACCAGCCCCAATCCCATCTCCGAGCAGCCCTTAACCTTATTGGCGAGCCATCGCCATCCCCCTGCTCTCCCGCATCCTTGCCGCCGTTCCTCTACCTCCGACCCGCCCGTTGAGATCCCCGATCACACCTACTCTGAGCAGCCCCGAATCCCCTCTTTCTTTCCTCAATTCGAAGACAACGGGAGATCATTCGGAACTGATTTGTTTGAACAGATCCAAATGTGGCTCAATCGGATCTGGTTCTCAGCTTAGATCCAACCCGTGAAGGAAACGAATCCATTAATGCTTCACAAGTGATTCAAAGACAGTTTAACCCGACGACGGTATCGTTTTCTTTCGACTCAGTATTTTCTGTTAATCTCACTTTGTTAGTTAATTGCATGAGTATATCACCTCTGAACTCTTATCTTATATTCATTGTCTAGATTATAATTGTGAGTTGAGAGTAATTGAACATGTGATTATTGAATTTTGATATTGATTGTAGAGCTTGCGCAATGATAATGAATATTGCGATTATAGTGTTTGAGATTGGAACTGTTCATGATTGTTGATGTAAATCTTGCTAAAATCCATATGTCAAATTAATTATTTTAAATTAATTTCCTGTCGAAGATCATGAATTTTGGCAAAACGGTGTGTTGTTCAAATTAAATCGCTGATTCTGATTGACCCCCTCCCTCGTTTCGCATCATTTTTGGTATCAGAGCATGGTTCTATGTTAGTAAATTTTTTATTTTTATTAGTTTAATTGAGTCTTTTAATTTTTTATAAAAAATTTATCATTCATCTCATTTAGTTGTCAGCGCATACCATTCACATAGGTCTACCCTATCGATTAGGTGAGTCAAGTGTATCGACTAGTGAGTCCAGCATGTCTCCTGAAGTCCTTAAGAAATTCGCTGAACTAGTAGCACAATTTGATAGTACTATAGAAAATTTTCAAAATGCAACCAACGAGACGCATGCTAAGCTAGGAAAAGCGTGTGTTGCAACTCCGCCTCCACTAGGTCAAGGTCATGGGCACATCATTCATCGACCCTCACCTTAGCCTGTGCCTGATCTGCTAAGCTTTGATTGTAAGCTCGACCTAGAAGTTTTCTTAGACTGGCTGAAAGGTATGGATCGCTACTTCAATTGGTGCGCCTGACGGAATCGCGAAAAGTCAAGTTTGTCGCGATGAAACTCACCAGACTCGCCTGCCAATATTGGTCCAATATCGAAATGTTAAGGCATATTAGAGGTGAATTATCAATTTTAACTTGGCGAGAAATGGTCGACGAGCTTAAAAGGAAATACCTCCCGTCATCGTTCTATCATAGATTGCTCGACAAGTGGCATCAACTTGCTCAGGGAACTAAATCTGCAAAAGAGTATGTTGCTCAATTTGATGAATTGTTTACTTGATGCAGCACCATTGAGCAAGAGGCACCAACGAAAGTCTTGTTAAAGTTTAGAACCAGATTGAGAAGTGACCTTAAAACCGAACTCTTTGCTAGAGGAGTAGACACCCTTGAGGGAGCTTACGTCTTAGTTCAAGATCTAGATAAAACCAAATTCCACCAATCTAATAAGAGTTAGGATTTTCAAACTCATTCCTCCCAGACTTCCCATGTCCCTACCTCTAGTCAGCCTCCGAGTCGATTTAACTCTAGTTCTTCCCAATCTAGAATCGATCCTAAGAGCAAGGAATTAAAAAGAGATTTCTCCAAACTTAGCCTAATAATTCAGTATTACAATTGTTAAGGATATGGGCACGTCGCTAACATCTGTACGACCCCGTTCAGAGTTAGAATTAAAAAGCCGCCTATAACAAAATCAAAATCTATTATTGAGGAACTCGTTAACCAGGCTGTAAACTTGACAGAATCTAACTCTAACAATGAAATCCATAAAAATAAAATTAAAAAACCATGCACTTCTATTTCTTCTGAAACTACCCCTGCAATTGTGGAGTTGATTGAATTTTCATGCAATGACAACACTCTGATTATTTTCCAAACTGCCACTTTGATCACGGAGTTCACTGATGTTATCCCTGAAGTTATTTTTGAAATCAAAACTCCAACTCGTCCTGAACTCACTCCAATGATTAGAAACGTTATTGATGTTCCCCACGAAGTCCTCCCGGACAAATATGACACCCAACCCGTTCCTAATTTGGTTCCTAAAGTGAGTCACTCAGATATATGTATGAAAGTTGAATCTCAAACTGAGCATAGTAAAATAACTACCATATTAAATGTCAAACCCCCATGCATTGTCCCGATAGTCACTCACACACATACTAATCTCTTTTGGGAATATATAGTGATTAGGGATACAAGTTCGAGCACGAGTGTTTTCATTTCCTTTCTCTCTCATATTAAGCGCACAGAAACACTCCTCTTTCATGCATTTGTTTACACGTTCCTCACTATCACTGCTAGAATAAGAAATTTGTTGTTCACATTAACGAAGGAACGCCTAATTATTCCTTTTGATCGAGGACGTCATGCATTTTAGACACTTCGTTGAGTTTACATCTGCCATTGATCACATTGTTCGAGTCTGCATTTCTTACATAGTAGTTGAGTTGATTTGCATCATTTGTTATGATTTGCATTGGGGAATCAATGATCTAACTTGAATAAATACATTGTTAACTGAAATGTATGATATAAAGTCAGGACATAATTTAAAACGGTTAATGCTGATATTTTAGATGGTTTAGACTTGTCTAATACAGTTTTTTTTATAGCTGTTTAAGATTTAACATATTTATGAACTTTTCCAACTCTTGAAATAATTAATGGCAATATTTATATTATCGATTTGGTCATAGTTCTATTCTCAATATTAAGTGATTAAGCAGTTCACAATATTTTGACAGTCCACTAATATAAGCCTGTCCCTAGCCTATTGTTTCTGAGAGTTCTTTCACATTACCCCCACTTCTATATATTCACCCAAGCTGCAGTAAATTTTGATAATATTTTAGATGGTGAATTTACAATGCAACTTAGGTAATGATTTGAGATACATGAAAGTAAATGATGGCAGATTAAGATGCATGCAAACTATATTGATGATGACAAGATTCTGCAAGCTAAATCGACGGAGTCGAGTTTTTTCTCCCACCCGGGGAGAATAATAAGGACAACAATTACAACTTTCTCTAGTTATCATTTGACTTTTTCTATTTCAGTTTTTAGTAGTTAATTTAAATTTTTGAATTTTGAATTGTGGTTTAATTTTAGCATTTGAGAGATTTTAGGGAATTGATTAGAATGATTTGAGGGATATGTAATTGCTCTATAAAAGAGCTATGTAATAAGAATTATGGAATAATTGAATGAATGAAATGAAATATTATGTAGCTAATTTGGGTGAGAAACCCTAGGCTTTGGGTGTAAAACCCTAGGTTGACCCCCTCCCCTTCTCCTCTCATACGCAACCGCGCCACCAGCCACCCCTTCTTCTTCCTTTGCTGCCCCCATCCCCTGCTTCCTCATCCTCAGGCGCCCCACCATATCAGCCAACATTCCTGTCCTCTTATTCATCCCTGTAGTCGCACCCCGCCCTCACCGCATTCCTAACCGCCAGCCCCAGTCCTATCTCCGAGCAGCCCCTAACCCCATCGGCGAGCCATCGCCATCCTCCTGCTCTCCTGCATCCTTGAGCAGCCACGCCGTTCCTCCTCCACCTCCGACCCACCCGTTGAGATCCCCAATCACACCTACTCTGAGCAGCCCCGAATCCCTCTTTCTTCCCTCAGTTCGAAGACAACGAGAGATCATTCGGATCTGATTTGTTTGAACAGATCCAAACGTGGCTCAATCGGGTCTGGTTCTCAGCTCAGATCCAACCCGTGAAGGAAACGGATCCATTAATGCTTCACAAGTGATTCAAAGCCGGTTCAGTCTGACGACAGTATCATTTTCTTTCGACTCAATATTATTTGTTAATCTCACTTTGTTAGTTAATTGCATGAGTATATCATCTCTAAACTCTTATCTTATATCCACTGCTTAGATTATAATTGTGAGTTGAGAGTAACTGAACATGTGACTGTTGAATTTTGATATTGATTGTAAAGCTTGCGCAATGATAATGAATATTGTGTTATATTGTTTGAGATTGGAACTGTTCATGATTGTTGATGCAAATCTTATTAAATTTATCTGTCATATTAATTGTTTTAAATTAATTTCATGTCGAAGATCATGAATTTTGGCAAACCAGTGCGTTGTTCAAATTAAATCGTTGATTCTGATTGACCCCCTTCCTCGTTTCGCATCATGTTGGTATCTAGTATAACAAAAATCCTAGTTTTAATTAAGGATTAATTGCAGATAATTCATTGTACTATGGGATGCAACCGCTGATACTTAGCATTTAGAACCCTTAAAATTCAGAGAGCGGCAATTTTTGTCCTCTAGGTAACTTAAGTCTTTTTTAGTTAACCTGAAGGGAAAATTCATCGTCATGTAATTCTCCTGTGACATCTCAGCCTAACAGGGAAATTAATATTGTCTAGAGCTCAAGGAGTATAAGTGCTAATAAAATAGTTTAGGGCATGCATGTGGTTATACCCTCATAGTACAAGGGACGTATATTCAATTAATCCTAATTTAAAATCTCTGTAGTGTTGAAGATGTAGACAAGAGCATACTGTTTGTGAGAAACATCTGAAATCCCCATAAGATATCTAGTGACCATTTGTATCGGTCTCTTCTGCAATCTGTGAATAATAGTGGGGCGAACAAGAGTGTCCAAGAAATAACAAAATTGAACAGTCCTTCGGACATCTAGCAAAAAATTGGAGATCATAAGTAAAAAGAGTATGTAGCATTAGCAAAGTACATTATCCAGAAAAAATGGAAACAAAAGCGTAGCAATAATTTCTTTTGTTTTTTTTTCTCCTTACCGGGTGAAGTACTGGGGCTTCAAGCACATGAATTCCAGCTATACTGCCCAAAAAATGCAGAACATGCATTAGTACGAGATTAATGTAATTGAATACATTATAAGTAATGAATTATTATGCAGCATGATTAACAACCGACTCTTAACAGAATGCTATTTTAAATTTCTTTTTTCAAGTAAATTCTAACTGATTTAAATTTCCAAAATCCAACCTGCATCAACAATTCTGGATAGTTGCCCGCTTGATTTGAGACTAAATTAAATTTCCAATGGCCTATTCAATTCCTCCATGTAAATGATCTTTATTATCCATTAGCATCAATTAAAGAAACTAAAGACTGAATGCAAAGTTCAAATAGTTCAGATAGAACTGCATAAGGCCATATTCTTTTCAATCAGGGAATTACTATCAAGCTAACATCTATAAGTATCAATCCAAACAATTTCTACATATTTCAATAGATTGCAACAAATAATAAAAAGTACAAACAATACATGAAGAACGAAATATATCGTCCACAAGCTTCTGAGAGCAATCTTTTCCTTACAAATTATTGGAAAAAAACTGAGAATGACAGGTCAATGGTATTCGATCCCAAACCAAAATCAATCAGCTTACCGTAGTTCAATAAGGGCAAAACGTAGAAGAAATTGAGTGAGAGGCCAATGAGATCACTGATAGTACTTGACTTTATAGCCCATAAAGGGTCACCCTGCTCACATGTTTAAAGATCAGATACCAAAATAATTAGGCCATTTAAATTGTATCTTTTTTCGAAAATAACTGAAAGATGCAACTGATGAAAACAAAAATTATAAGTTCAATTAAGGTCTAAATGACAATAAAGTTTCACCCGGCGTATATCTAAATGTCATGTGTTATTACTTCACACTGCCATTACCTTTCCAATCCAAGATTATACCTACAGGTATACCTTAGCATTCTCCCTTTCATGTATGGTCCTATATCAAAGGAATTTTACTTCGTCTGTCATTTAACATCAATAAGATAACAACATCAACAATGGTGCCTTGCCCAGAAGGAAAGTAACATAGTACCCTTCACCCTTGGTTTTAATGCAGGAAAATCCAGGATAAGTTGAATATTATTATTATTTTTTCACACATGGCCGTCAAACAGTAGGTCCTTTTAAATTTACACCTCAAATCATCAGAACTGCTATTTTACTCTTCAAATTGTAGTCATCCATCAATTTTAAAGTTTAAACTTAAAACAGTCAATCTTAATACCGTTAGAGGACTTTCCTCAAAAATATTGTGAGAACACCATCTCTCTCTCTCTCTTCTCTCCTTCAGCATATAACCATAATGACCACATGACATGTAGCTACTCTGTAACAGTCATGGAGCTCCAAGTATAACTAACTCTATTTATTTTCACGTCAAAAAAGAAAAAAGAGAGTGATTTTGACAAGGATGGGGACTTATACAGTATAATAAATCCAACTATCATGGAAGTCTGTTATTCAATGGTAACATTTCTCAGAAAACACTAATGTGTGACATTGTCAAATTTATCTAAAAAATTTCAACTAGGATAAAACAATAAATTCGGAGCTATACATTAATGCTATGTTACAAGAATCAACGACCTTCAACAAATAGAAATACATGAACCTGATTGTAATTCACGATCAAATATCTCACGTCATTGTATTGGTAGAAAATAGGACAATATTTTGAAAACATTAGGCATCAGGTGGCAATTTATTTTGTTAAATGAGCACTACTGTCTCTTGGTAGCTCAATATGTTAAATTAGGTGGCAGCTCATATTTAGTATCCCCACAAGATTTATATTATAGTTAGAATTACTCTAAGAAAATATGATAGGGGAAGACCATTAAACTGAGAGTACAACAAATCAAACTCCCATGAAAGTCATGTTCTTCAATGGTAATATTTCTTAGAAAACACTAATGCAAAAAAATGGGTAAATTACACTAAACACCCAAGAACTTTCAGCATTTTGCAGTAAACCCTTAATAGCTTTCAAAATCACACTAAAACCCCAATAACTTTGCAGAAAACCCCTAATATCCTTGGGTCAATTACACTAAACCCCTAACAACTTTGAAAATACCTTTTTATGTTGTTTTTTGTTCTGATTTTTGGGGGTTTTCTGCAAAACGCAAAAGTTATTGGGGGGCAATGTAATTTGGAAAGTTATTGGAGTGAATGTTCTCGGCGATTTAGTGCGATTTGGAAAGTAATTAGGGGGCATACTGCAAAATGCTGATAGTTTTGTCAGTTAAGTGCAATTTCCCCAAAAAAAATTGTCAAATGAAGCTTTTCCACGCTTCCCATAACTCCATAAGTTCTAGATAATCATGTAAAACATTGTCGCCTTTTTTGGTATGCAAGAACTAAGTCAAGTGAGAATGAAATAAAATAAGAAATAGAATATAGTTGGTGTGAGAATGGAATGCTCATTCTCAGTCTCAAGTTTGGGTGTGATTAGACAATGAAGGGAGAATAGCAACCTTTTTTATTTATGGTATGAGTAATTAATAAATAATTAAAACACATTTGGAATTTATTTCAAATTATTGATTCTCACCTAAATGGGAATGCCCACACTCTACTAACTCTCTGGGAATGCTCATTCCCACTTTAATAGAAATGGATACTAAGTAGGCATAGATTCCAAAAATTGTTGTGTTTGGTATGCATAAATAAGAAGTGGGAATAGAGGTGACCAGCAGAGAAGATCAACCGGTCAAAATCTGCCCTAGAAAGCCGCATGATACATAATGGGTCCAGTACGAATTCGGACCCGTCTCGTTTATGAGATACGTCAAGTGGATTCGTCTCATTTGACCCAAATGAGATGAATCCAACTCGCCTTGTGACGAGTCACGAGTCAAGATGGTTCAGTGAAAATTAACCTGGCCCTTAAATTATATTTTTCTTCTTCTTTTATTCCAATAAATAGTCTTGTATGCCTCTGGGTAAAACTAACCGGAAGTCCAAATATGCAACAAAATCTTGTGATCCCCCAACAACTCTTTTTAGAGTCGGTGGAGAGA